ATCAGTTGGACAATGTTTTATTGATATATCTACAGTGTTAAAGCAAGTCTCTTATCATAATAATAAAGTGAACTCTAAATACAGGTTTCTTGAATTCATGAATACATATTTTGCTGCCCTCCCACAGGGTGATGGCCCCCACACAAGGGCTATGGCCCCCTAACCGGGTGTTCAGCCCCTACACAAGGGGTTCGGCCCCCCAACAGGGGGTTCAGCCCCCACACAAGGGCTACTCCCCCCCAACAGCGGATTCAGCCCCCGAGCAAAGGGTTTGGCCCCCACACTAAGGGGTTTCAGCCCTCCAAAAGGGGTTCGGCCTCCCCCAACAGGGGGTTCGGCCCCCACACAAGGGGTATAGCCCCCAACGGGCTACCACCCCCCCTGCATTAAAAAAAAAAAAAAAACAGAAAAAGAACAGAAAAAAAATGGAATATCCAAACTTGCAGTGCAGGGAACATTTTTTTTTGTTCCCGCACATGCCTGTTGCCCCACGTCAAAGGGGTTTGAGGTGGGGCAAAAGGCATGTATGCGCTCGTGTGGACGCACCCAATGAGGCTATATAAAACTTTAGGTTGATTATAAAGAAAATTTTAGACAATGCTATAATTCACCACTCTATAAACAGGTGCAACTTTAAAGCGTAAAATATGACAAGCTACCCTAACAATAAAAACAAAAGAATGCAATTTACCATAGGTCTATCTTGCCGAGTACCCCGTGTCACACAGTGGCAGGAGAGGGAGGGGATGCTAAAAGGGAGAATGAACAGGGTACGACTTGGGTTTTTCCCCTATTCCTCTTCCTCTTGCAGCCTGCAACATTTAAGATCTAGGAAGTTCCAATTCAAAGGTTGTATTCCTAACTCCCATGCTCAATAGCTGCTAATGCATCTTTCCTCCAAGAATTTGTCCATTCCCTTTTCACATCTGGTTAAACTTTCAGTTTTCATAATACTTTTTGGCAATGAGTTCCACACTTTAATTATACATTGTGTAAAAAAGAACTTCCTTTTGTTAATTTTAAACTTACTACCTACTAGTTTCATTTTATGGCCCTTAGTTCCTGTAGTGTGAGAGATAGTAAATAATAAATTCCTATTTATTTTCTCTTTGCATGTAGTATTCTGTCAACCCTTATGTCCCCTCCTTAAGTGTCTCTTTCCTAAACTGAATAGGCCTGGCCCTCTTCCGTCTCTCCTCAAATGGAAGGCCCTCCATACCACTAACCATCTTTGTTACCCTTTCAAGTTCTTGAAGTTCTTCTTGAGGTGTGGGGACCAAAACTGGACACAATATTCAGAGTGTGTACTCAACATGGATTTATAAAAGGGACATAATGATACTTTCTGCTTTGTTTACTATTCCCTTCTTAATAATTCCTAACATTTTATTTGACTTTTTGATAGCTGCTGAGCATTGAACTGATGTTTTTAGCCAACAGTCCACAATGACTCCCAAATCTATTTCCTGTGTGGTAACAGCTAAAGTAGAGCCTATTATACTGTAGGTATAGCTTGGGTTATTTTTGCCCAGATCTATTCCTTTACATTTATCTTCATTGAATTTCATCTGCCATTTAGTTGCCCATTCCCTCAGTAGTGCAAAATTGTTCTGCAGTTCCTCAGTCTGCACTGGTCTTTACCATTGAATAATTTTGTCATCTACAAATTTGGTCACTTTCCTACTCATTCCCTTTTCCAGATCATTTATGAATAAGTTAATAGTACTGGTTGCAACACCCTACTGCTTACTTTACAGCTTGAAAACTGACCACTTACATTCACTCTTTGTTTTTTTTATCTTTAAACCAATTTCTAATCCATGATGGGATGTTCCCTGTAATCCCATGACTATGTAACTTAATTAAGAGCCTCCGATGGGGGATTTTGTCATAAGCTTTTCGAAGTCCAGATACTCTATGCAAGCTGGATCACCCTGATCCACCTGCCTATTAACACCATTAAAGAACTCTACTATGTTGGCAAGGCATGATTTCTCTTTGACTAAACCACACTGTTTCCTCCCTGGCAAGTCATGTTCATTCATGTGCTGAACAATCCTTTTATTTTTTATTCCTGTCCCTACCACTTTTCCAGGAACAGGTGAAATATTGAGTATTTCCTGTACCTTGGAAGCCATCTCTCACAGAAGGCTGACATTGACAAAGAAATCCAACATTGCCTTAAATGTGCAAGTGCAGCCTTTGGATGCTCGCGGAAATGGGCGTTCAAAGATCATGACATGAGCTCCGAAACCAAGCTTAGGGTTTATCAAGCAGTTGTGATCCCCGCCTAACTGTATGGAGTGGAGATGTGGACAGCATACAGGAAACACCTCAAGTCAATAGAAAAGTACCATCAACGCCAACTGTGGAAGATCCTTCAAATCCTGTGGGAAGACAGACGCACCAATATTAGCGTCCTCTCACAAGCAAACACCATGAGCATCAAGGCAATGATCATCCAACATCAACTTTTCTGGGCCAGCCACATCATCAGGATGTCCAACTCCAGACTCCTAAAGCAAGTTTTACTCTCCCAGCTCAGTTGAGGCATATGCTCAAGAGGAGAGCAACCTCAAGGCCAACCTGAACAAATTCAACATTATTTGCATTTGCAACAACACCGCCCTAAATGGAGGAAGAGTCTGCTTCAAGGAAATCGGTACTTTGAAACATTATGACAACAAGAGATGGAAACAGGGGCTGGAAGAAACCAGCATTTCATGGACTGAATCAAGAATCTGGAGCCACCCATCCCACATGGAAACACATAACCCAGTTGTAATAATCTGTTGATCCCAGATCAGCCTCATCAGCCATCTTCAAACCCCCAGATAATGCAATCATGGAAGACATTCATCCCTGACTACGAGGGATTACTGAAGAGAGTTCCCTGGGTCCCCTCTAAAGCCCTTTCTAAATTTTGGAGTCATGCTGGCAACCCTCCAATCCTCTGATACCGAGGCTGGTTTTAGTGATAAAAACTACAGTGCATACTATTGTTAGGAGTTGGGCAGTTTCCAATCTGAGCTCCTTTAGGATCTTAGAGTGAATGCCATTAGGTCCTGGTGATTTGCTGCTGTTTATTCATCAATTTCCCCTATGACCTCATCTATTGAAACCTCAGTTTAGGTCAGCTCCACAGACTTGTCCCTAGAAAGGAGTGGATCTGATGAGGGAACCTCCCTAACATCTTACAGAGAAGACAAATGCAAATAATGCATTTAATTTCTTAGCAATGATCCTGTCATCCTTTCATCCTTTAGTACTCCTTGTACACCCCGATTATCCAAAGGTCCAACTGACTCCTTGCAGGTCTTCAGCTCCTAATGTACTTAAAAGGTAACAATAAAAATATTTCTTTACGTCTCTAGGAAGTTCCTCCTCAAATTCTTTCTTAGCTTGTCTTATTGCAGTTTTACATTTGATTTGCCAGAGTTTGTGCTCTTTTTTATTTTCCTCATTAGGATGCGACTATCACCTTTTGAAAGAAGCCTTTTTTCTATGTATTGACTCTGCAACTCTGCCATTACACCATGCTGGTTTTCTTTTGGTTCCTCAATAACCCATCTCTGTAAGAATTTACTGAGTGATTGCATTGCTAAACACACTTTGTTGTCCACATTGTGTTTATTTTTGAAGTATGAAGTCATGCCTATAGTTCCAGGCTGGTGTCTCACAGGAGAACATCACACTTTTTGTAATTTGAGAAAAGTTAAAATAAAGAATTCACCAGTGGTCAAATGTCCTTTTTCCTCTCTATTCACAAAACAGCCCTAATCCATAAAAAAGCTTCTTAAAATATTCTTTATAATTCTATACAAACAACTTGCCATTTCAGATTTCTACCCGAACCATGAAAAACAGCCATATAGTTTCCCCCTAAACTAAATGTTGCTGATTTTGTTTTGTATTGAGCTGTGTGACTATGTCAAATTCCTCTTAATGAGGAGGATGTGTTTGCAATTTCACTTCAAGATATTTCAATAAGATTCTCATCTTTTCCTTAATATGTTCATTTGAGATAGACTTTGCTATAAAACAAATTCAGATGCTGCTGATTTAGCTATGGTCTCCTGCTGGTTTTTCTATTGCCTTAACACACACTTATCATTAATGTAAAACCCACCAACTCTGATTCTCACTTCAGACTGTATGTGTGATTGAAAAAGCTGGTGATGGAATTATTTCTCTTGGGGAGGTATGGGAGAAGCTATTTGGGGAGGGACACCCTAAAGCAAACATAAAGCAGAAGAAACAGAAAGGGCACAGGGAGGTTGATATTCTTCCTTCTCCCCCAAAGCTATTCTCCAACAGAACATCCCACTCATTATTTACATCTTCAAAGTAGCATACTAAAATCTTCTCTCTCTCATGAAATCATCTCAGATTCCCAGCAGCTAGGACAATATATAGGCATATAATAAGCACAGAAGAGGAGTATGAGTTTGGACTTCAATCCTTTTTCTAGGGTCAGGTGGCATTTAAGCTACTCTTAGGGTACGTCTACACAAGGCAACTTATTGTATGTTAGACTAATCTACACGTGCAGTAATTACTGCACAGTAAATTAGTCTAACATGCTGTTTTCTAGTACCTGTAGAAAACCAGTATTAGAAATTGGCACGTTAAACCAATGCACTGAAGTGCACATGTAGACGCTGACAAGGAGCAATTGCTCCTGGTCAGCCTAGGCAGCAGGGGACCACAGCAAGTATGAAGAGCTACTCTGGCTCGGTGGGATGCTGCCTCCCAGCCCCATGAAGATCAGGAACTGTCCCAATCTCCACAGGTCTGGAAAGCAGTTGCCTAGCAGCTGGGACAGCTCTTCCAGCCATATGGAGATTAGGACCCATCCCTATCTCCACAGGGCTAGGAGGCAGCAGCCTGGCAGCCGGGACAGCTCTCCCTCATCCTGTGACCCCTGCCAGCCTAGAGCTGGCACCTGGGGGAGCCTGGAGCTCCCCCTGGCAGGAGCAGCCCTAAACTGAACTGCTCTCATTGGGAGCAAATTTATTTCTGATAGGTGCACATTCAGATGTGTGTAGGGGCCCAGTTTAATGGGCCTGAATTTTCTGTGCAGAAAATTCAGGTGCATTAAAGGCACATGTAGACATGCCCCTAGTGGCCCAAATTAAAATTTTCTGTTTATGTATAGTAAGAGAACCATTTTGCTGAACAGCCTAGTGAACAGATGACTTGCTTACGAAGTTGAACACCTGGGTTCTAAGTCCAATTCATCCAAAGTGTATTTGAATACACTTCTCTCACTTCCCAGAAAAATGCCCTAACTACTAGGCAATGGGCCAGGGAAGACTGAGGATGTCCTCTAACCCTCCTTTTGAAGCTTCCCCACTGGGAAGCCCCAAGTGTAATATTTGTGGGGCCAGAAGAAGAACAAGGAAGAAAGAACCAGATTCTGTAGTACAATGGACAAGCAATAATTTGGGAACAGTCTGTCCTGGACTCTGGCCCCTAGGACTACATATGATAGTGATTCTCAACCACGGTGTCGTGAAATCTTTTTAAGGGTACAATCTTAGCACTGTTAGGTATGCGAATAACTACACACAATTCACAAGATAAACCCAGAGACTTCAAACAGAAATCCACACGTCAAAACATTCTGACGATTTTGTGTGCTCTGCCCAAATTCCTTGCAACAGAAGAATTGTTCTATTGTTTCTGTTAGTCAAAAAATGCTGTGCTGGCCATTTCCTCTGCCACCTCCCCACCGGTGTACATTGAGTATAACGAGTGGGGCTTTAAGTCTAGAAAGGTTGGGAACCACTGACTTATGCATTTAATAATGACTGTATAAAATGCATAAACAGCATTGGTTTTCTCAGTTCCCTGTGCATGTTTCCTAAACACTATGTTATTTGGCAAAAAGTGAGTGAGGGTTACTCCCCACTTATGCGATGATTAAATTTTAGGTGCCTTGTATGTAATAGACTTTGCCTTTGTAATACTCGGTGTGATTTGCATGTTGCTTTAGTTACACTAATTCATTTTCACACAACTGAAAGAGCGGTATAATCATAATTACCATAAACTAGTAGTAAATTTGTAATTGAAGAATTTAAATAGCATTTACAAATTATGCTAAAACTGATCCAGAGGGACTCCTATTTCCATTTAAAAATAACTAAATAAAAAAGTCCATAAAACTAAATAACTTCAATTATGGAAAACATTTTAAGCTCGTTTTGGCTATATTCTTCAATCCCGAAAGTACCATTGGCACACCTGAATGTAATGCACTGTTCATCCCTGGTGCTCAGATCTAGAGGATGGGTGCAAGTCTGTCATAGCTCCCAGCTACAAAACTCAGTAACTCAGCTCAGACTGAAGAGGCTAATACTTTTAATTCTTGAGAGTCCTAGGAACAAACAAAATAGCATTCATTACAGGTTTACACCGAGGTTCTCATTCTGCCAAATGCCACACATTAGCAGATGACAGGGCCAAATAAAACCCTATTAAAGGTGCTGGGGCAGGCACAGGTGTCTGCTTACATAGGGCAGCTGTTAGATTCGAAGCCCAAGATTGCAAAGGGCCAATAAGATGTAGTAGGAATACAGATTAGGGAGATATAGGTCTGTGTTCATTTTCAAGACCTAAAGTTAAAATCTGTGAATCCATTTGAAAGACTAGAATACATACTGAAGTCAAGTTGCTTCCCATCTGGTTTCCAGCAGCCATATATAAAAGAGAATTCAGTCTTTCATATGGCAAGCTGGGTTCTCTCAGGGGTCCATGTCTAGCTTAAAATAAAACAGTTGTGATAGATGTTCACAAAAAAAAGAAAAACTACATACAAAAACATGAAAATAGGCTTCTGAGACCTAAATGGATAAATACCACACACATTTAAAAGCAAAGTAGCAACAATCAAGAAAAAGTATAAGTTTACATGTAATTTTTCTTTATTTGATATTCCCATTCATTTAAAAATCAGTCTGTAACTGTCGTGAGTTAAACTGCACTAGTATGTTAGGTGCAATCCAACGATTTTTGCCTTGCAGGTAAAATGCCTGCAGATTAGTAAATGTCTTTCTCAAATGTCAAAGCTTCCCTTAATTGCTGTTCTCTTCACACAGCACCTGGTTTAAAATGCTACTCTGTTTCAGAGCCTTCAGGCTGGAAATATCTTCACTAATGACAGGGATTTCTTCTTTTTGGTTCTCAGCTGTCAGTTCATCTTCACTGTCTGACAGTGCACACAGAAGCGTGTCATTTTCATAGGTAGGAAAATAATACCTGAAAGCAAGAATATTTAAGAAGATAATATTACTAGAGTCATGAGCTTTGTTGCTCAGATAGCTCACACACAGAGCTCAGACAAACTTTTCTTAGAGTGAATGGAGGCCTGACTGGGCCGGGGGAAGAACTAGCCTTAGTTGGTGGGAGGGAGCCCAACTGGTAAGTAACAGTGTTTGACCCTCTAGTAAACTGTTGCCTGTGGCATACAGGAACTAGCAGAGAGTGTGGGAGAATGTTTTTTGCTTGAGATATTGAATGAAGACTCTGGAAGCTTGGGTTTTAGTGGAATTCTGGCTTTTATTTTTGGGAGGTGGTTTTCTGATTTTTGCAGGGAATCCTTAGTATTCTGCCCACTGATTCCTTGCGGGTTCCATGGAAGTTTAGAATTGATCAGATGCAACATTCCAGAAGTTACTGTGTTGCTGACAAACAGAGGAATGCCAACAGTGGGAATGTATGGCTTCAACTCACTTGGCCAAAAGTGTGACTGACTGTGAATGACTGCTGTGATTCGATTCAGTTTGATTCTACATAATAATAATAATAATAATAATAATAATAATAATAATAATAATAATAATAATAGGATTTGGGGGTTGTGTGTATAATATACACGCATATTATGTAGACCCCCCCTTCATCCCAAAATACCTAAATACTGCATAATTCCTTCAGGATTTTTACTGTTCCCTCAGGGTAAGACCAGCCCTCATAATGAAGATTTCTACAAGATGTCCATATTTACTTGAAGGAGTCTTCAGAGAAGATTACATTAGCTGCTTTAACTGTGTTTCCTTGTGTTATGATTTTAAAGGTGGTTATGCCCTCAACTCTTTCAGCCCTCACCTGAAATTACTTAAGATTTTTTCTCCTGTTCATACCCCACCTTGTGGCTGAAGGTATAGGCCGTGGTTACTGTTTGCTGCTGTTTGTGAAAAACAGCACTGTAGATTTCTATCCTGTTTGTTTTTAACTGTTCCTCACCACAATCAGAGCCACAGTGAGAAGGCTAAGAGAGAGGGGAACTACCCTCATAAAATAGCACCAAAGTAATAGTCCAGAACACTACAGTGCACAATTGAGCCTCTGCAGGTACTCTGTGCAATTAAGGTGTTTTTTTTAAAGCAGGCTTCTGGTGGGGCTGAACCTACTGGATGCCTGGGATGGGAATTATAAGCATGAAGTGGAACAGTGTTGCAAAAGTCAAGCTGTTAGTACATTTTATAACAGCTGTATAGAGAATAGAGGAAGTGCTTCAGTGTCAGGAGCCATTCCTTCTCCTTGTATCTAGGATCTGTGGAACATCACAGACCATAGTGTTGCGGTGTCTGGGAGAGCAATCTCTCCAACCTTTCTGATTACAGACACTGTGGGGAATTGTATAAGCTTCAGGATCATACATCTACCATCACCTGGGTCTAAAGGAATGTCAGGTAGTTCTGGGTACTCTGTCATTAGCACAGAATGGAACATCAGGTTTTACTGACAGGGGGTGCATCTACACAAGTACTGTCCAACTTTGTGGGACACAGCAGTGAAAATACACTGTACCTGGTCAGCCCAGGCAGCAGGGGGCCAGACCTCCGCCTGCTGCCTAGCCACAGGACTCTGCACACTGAGGTATTCTCATACCCCAGGCAGCCCCAGTGCTGCCCTCCTGGAGTCTGGGCTGAACCCCTGGACTCCTGCCAGCCTGTGGCTGCTCCGTCATGGCTCAAACTGCTGTGGTCCTGGGCATAGCATCTACCTATGCCATTAAGGCATCGTTATAAATGCCAGTGCAGTTTGCTCCCGAGCTTAGCACTGTGCCGTAATGGCACATATAGATGCCCCCAGGGGATGTTCCCTGCCAGACCAAGGGCAGGTGAACCTACCAGCCACTAATGCTCCCAGCATCCCCAGCTGAGCCCAGCTTCCTATGCAGCCTGGCTGGAGCAGGGTAAGAGTGACCCTGAAGACTCACACCTGCTTTGGAACCATACAAAAAGTCCCCAGCTACTGCTCTCACGGTGTAGTCTACTCACCCAGTGGGAGAATAGAGGGAGGTAGGAGTGGGCTGTAGCCACCCCTGCAGTCCCATCATTGCTCATGCAGCCCCCTTTACAAAATCCTGGATCTGCCCATGTATACTGATATGATGACAAATTACCCCATGATGACAAATGCAGGAGGAAAAAACAAGTCAGCACTTACTGTGGTTGATCCCACGTAGATCTGGCTGGCAGGAATGTAATGTGTTTGGTCTCTTCCATATGGCTTATTAATTCAATCTTAGACTGAAATTTCTCCTGGCAGCTGTAGCAGCGACTCTGGTGGATTTCCCTTCTGATGAAGTTCACCAACTTCACTTGCTGATAAAACTTTAAACCTGGCAAATAGCAGAAACCAACCACTTCAGAAAAAACAAACACCAACAAAGCACTTCTAAATAAAGAAGTGGGTCAAGGCTGCTAACCTTCCACTGAAGATATACATGGTCTGGGTATTGTAATTCCGCAAATCTCTATCAGTATTTTTTCTTCCAGCTGAAGTGAATTTGGCTGCAGATACAGCTTAATAATGATGGATGATTTGTTTCCCTTCACAGCATATTGGAAAACAAACAATAGCCAAATGTGGCCCAGGACAGAGTCTGCATCATGCTCCCATTTTACCTCCAAGTTGAAAGGAGCTCTGAATTGCTTTTTTCTTTTTTTGGAATAATGACCATGGGATGATTGGGTCAAGGCATGTGCTCTCAAAATAAGAGATGTGCAGAAACTATTCCATGAAAGAACCCAACATTTCAAAAGAGAATATTGAATATCTTAGGCTGGAGAAATGTTCCAAAAAAAAGGAGCAAACAAAAAGGGCTTGGCTGTCCTTTGTTAGCTGGCAGAGGTAGTGTTTCCATAATGAAGAAGTTAAAAATATCTGAAAAAGATTAAATCTGACCTGTTTTCCAGTATCCTTAAAATGTGGTTTTCCCCAGACTAAGGCAGATTCTGACAATTACAGCAACTCTTACTTACCATTCTCTGATTTTATTTTAAGAAGGTCAAATCCATGTGCTTCCTGACAAAGAGAAACAGGCTTATTTCTAGTATGCCAGACTAAAAGCAGCTCAACTTTTTACAGATATAATAAAATCCAGTAATTTTGAGTTTACCAAGTCTTTTGTATGTGGTGATTTTAAATATCATTCTTTGTTTAGAATCCGGGTTTCAGTTTAAAAGTGCTTTACTATCCAAAGCATTAAGTCAGCAAGTTAGTGTAGTTCATACAATTTTATTGCAGTCTCTCTCTCTCTGCCATGTATACAATCTGCACACTTGCCAACAACAGTCACATCCTTGCTATAAAATGTGGCTTCCCTGAATTTTCTGCGGCGCATCCACTGGAGATGCAGTGTCTCTGTTCTGTACTAAAGAGGGCATTCTAGTGCAACAGAAGATCTGATCTCAAAATTGCTACAATCCTGCACTATTAAGTGTCACTTCACCTTAATAAAGCAAATACTATTTAAACATGTCGTACTTGCATGTGGAGATGTAATTTTTCTGTGGTGTCCACTTGCTGTTCACAAAATAGACAAACAGCATGCACGGGATGCTCTTCCCAGTCAGACCAGTCTCTGGGATTAATGAAACAAAGGGCACAAATTGCTGAAGGGAAAGGCTTGAAGAGAAAGGCTTGAAGAGATTCTTTGTGAAAGCTAAACAAACTGTGAAAGAGTAAGCTTAGTTTTACACTCACTCGGCACGTCTATACGTGAAATTAATGCAAATGAATAAACTCTGGAGCATATCACAACAGAGTTTATTGCTTCTGTACGCTGTGTCTTCATATGTGCCCAGGACTGCAGCAAACTGATCTGGACTGAAGCAGCCCCAGCTGGCAGGGGACCAGGGGGGTCAACCTACCAGCCCGGGGCTGGTTCAGCCTGGCTCAATGTGCTGCAGAGGGGCTGGCTGAGGCACAAGGGTGCTCTTATATGGGGCTAGCTGGCAGGCAGCCTCTGCACTGAAGCACCTTTGTGCCCCAGGCAGTCCCATCAGTGTCTACATGTGCACTGCTGCACAGTAAAGAACACCACCACAGGACAGTACTTGTATTTACAAGTATTAACTTACAGCAGAGTTAATTGATTTCCTGCGGCCTAATAGGGCTGCACATGTACATGTTTACTGCAGAGCTAATTAGGCAGCTCTGCAGTAAATGTCTTGTATAGATGTGCACACTTACACCAATATAAATCTGGAGAAACTTATTTAGGTTCAGACTGAGATCCTGCAATTGGGATTTATGATGGGCTAAACGAGTAAAAACATGTGGCTTCTTGTCAGAATAATAGCCTTTACATCACTGCATTTAAGTCCAAAACAGCTTAATGGCTATCCCTGAATAATGCTATGGGTAGACAATAGAGCTGTGTGAAATTTTGGCAACTGTTTCATTTCAGAGATGTTTCAGGCTATTTTGGTGCCTTAAACACCAAATCCAAAATGAAATGAAATGAGGCATCTGAAATATTTTGGAAATGTTTTTGAAAATTTTGGAGTTTTGGGGCTGGGTTTGCAGGGAAACAGCTGTATGCTGCTGCCCTGATGTGCGACTTGGCTCCACAGGGAGCAGAGATCTGCGCTGGTGGTCTCCTTGCTGCTGCTGCCTGCCCCGGCGACCTGGGGAGGAAACAGATTTTGCCAAAACAAAACAGGACAGTAATCTGAAACACTGAAACGAATCACTGTCCTCCAAAACAGCTGAATCCAAAACCGAATCGAAACGCAGCCATTTGCACAGGCCTAGTAGACAAACCCTAACCCCCACTTAGCCAGGGCACCTAACAGAGCAGTGAACAGTACTGTGTTTACTTGAATCCAAGACAAGGTCCCCCTCCCCCATTTAACATGGGGATAAAAAGCCCCTCGTCTCAGGTTTGAGTAAAAAGCAGGAGCAGGGATGGTCCTGACCTGGGGTTGGGGTTGAAGCTGCAACTGCTGCTCAGCCTCCCCCCCACCATTTCCACCCCCTGCTGCTCTGGCTCCAGCTTTGGCAGGGCTCTGGTCACACTACAGCCCAGGGCATGGAGCACAAAGTTGCTCCAGCCTGAGTCCAGCCTGGTAGCAGCAGTGGCAATGCAGCTTTAGTGCAGGCTCCAGCTCTGGAGCCCAGCTGGAGCTGCTACCACTGCAATAACTGCTCCATGGCCAGGCTGGGGCTGGAGCACCCATGTGCTCTGTTCTTTTGGCTGGAATGGAGTCAGAGCCCTACTGAAGCTAGAGGGAAATAGCAGTGGGGGGTTGGCTAGAGGCTGTGAGGGGACAGAGGTGGCAAGCAGCAGGAGAGGCCAGGCACGAAGAGGGGGCAGGTGCCGGGGCTGCAGATGCTGGAGAGGGCAAGTGCTTATATGTGCAGGCACTGGAAAGGCAGGCAGAAGGATAGGCAAGAGACAGGCTGCTATATTACACTACCACCTGCCCCCTCCATGCATCTTACCACCTGCCCCTCTGCCACTGCTTTCCCTGCTGTACCAGTGTAGGGCACGAATGCAAGATGACTCTCCAATAATAAGATTCTATACATGGGAAATGATAACAAATTTAACATTTTTCCATGCATAGAACTCATAATTGGAGGGTCATCTTAAATTCGGAGTCATCCTGGATTCAGATGATAGGGCACTGCAGGCAGTCAGTTACGGAAAAAACCTTGAATAATTGTCAGAAGTCATCTTGCCCAGCTTTGTGCTTAGCCACAAGATAATGCTTCTTATCCATGAATTATTTCCAATCTTACTCACTTCTCTAGGACTAAGCATGCCACCTCCATTGTGATCTTGGCCCCCCATAGTCTTGAAGTAGAGGAGCTAGAAGGGAAATATAACCAATCCCATTTGGTCTGTTGCTCACAGAGGGAGCAACAATAACCATTTCCAATTCAATCCTAAAGTTCCACTGCTCAGAATGTTATGATGTTTTAATTTTTTCAGGATGATGTTTCATGACTGGACTCTGCCCTTTGTATTCAAACTGGATTAAATTTGGTTTTGCTCCAATTTAAACTATCAGATAAATATACTCTGCCCTCATTATGGCAACTTTAATATGAAGAGTTTTGCAGTTGATAACAGCTTGGGGATTGAAAGATTAAATTTTGCTTACAAGTAGCCCACACGGAGGAGAAGCGTCTTTGATGAGACTTGTCCTGATGAAAACTGAACTTGATTTGATTAAACTATGCATCTCTTAAAAGTCTCTACTAAGCATGTAGATCCTCCCTATCCTCCCACATCTAACTCCTGACATGCATGTAGCACCTATGTAACTCTTACTCTTCTGGGTTATCTAGGAAGTCTCGATCGTCCTCTGACTGAACTTCTTCCCAGGATTTCCCAAATTCCTGAAAAAGCAAAAGAAAAGAGAAGTAATTTTTCAACATGTGACAGTTGGGAAAGAAACAGAAACCCCGCTTTAGATGCAAGGTAACCTAAGCCAAAATCAACAGCTTAGTCTGCATTTACTTTGCAATGTTTGTGTACCTAAGCAATCCACACAGCTTTGCTTTAATAATTCTTACTATCAACAGTTTTATTCACCTGCAATCAGGTATGCCACTCATTTTGCCTGGCAAGAGAAGTAGTGTTAAATCGGATGCATGCCTCTCAAAAAAGTGACACGTAGGCCCAGCTGACAACGAGAGTATTTCAACAGTAGAGCTGTACCAAGATATGGTGCTAGCAAAGTGCTGCTCATGTGGCTGCAGCTTCTACAGGCAAAACTGCACGTCTGCCAGGATAGCTCATTCCAGCTTGCAGATTCTGTGTCTCTGAGCAAAATGAGCTTTCCTGGCAGCAAAAGCATAGTTTAGCCAGCACGACTGTGCATGTGCTAGGAGCTTTTGCTAGTAAAGCTGTCAGTCAGGGATTGTACCTCTTCCCACTCCTAACTGACATACTTAATTAAGTGTGAAGTGCAGATTTGACTGCAAAATATTAAAAGAAGGCAGTATGACTCAGGAGAAAAGTTATAGTCCAGTAACCAAAAGCTTGTTGCCAGTTCTGCCACTGATATATTTACCGGACTCCCTAGATTCCCAAACAATGCGTGTGTTGTCCCCTCCTCCCCACCAATTCAAACGGGGGGGGGGGGGGGGGGGGAAAGCAGCCTGATCTTAGAATTGAGCATCAGACAAAGCAGAACAGCGCCATCTGGTGTCTGAGCTTCTGTAGCCCCCTCCTTCCTTCCCACAGCCACATACTGCTACTTTATGTCTTGGCCATTACCTGCCTAGCAGCTGCTCACCTCACAAGTAGCCAAGGATGGCAATGAGTCAGTGTGGCCAAGATGGATCTGCAGGGCTGGGATGGGAGTGAGGTGGTGGATGAGGGCCTGTGATGAGATTGGGAGGAGAAGGGCTAACAGGCTGGGGATAGGGGCAGCAGTGTTGGGTGTGGTCGGGGGTGTCAAAGTATGCGGGGTAAGCAGGGGTTTCCTGGGGTAGGGACAGCACCAGGACATCAGGAAGATAAAGCAGGGAGCAGGACCACCTGGAAGGGGGGACCTAATTACAGCGGCTGTCCCCAGCTAAGCCCAAAACCATGCTCCGTCACTCAGAGAAGCCCGGCACACTCAAATGCCCTCTTCCCCTGTGGCGAGTCTTCTAACAGGCTCTCCTGTGCTATCAGGGTATGCCTTGGCCTTCATGTGCTCTACTAACAGCGGTAATGGCAATGGCTAGGAATGGCAATTTCCTTAGGCATTGGCTGCATTGTTCTTTCACAGAACGAAGTCATGCTCCACTGCCTTCCAGGGAATTTGTCCCCTACATGGGAGGTAGTCCCCCGGCCCTGCAAACCCTCCTGCACTAGTTTAACACCCTGAGCTGAAACTCATATGTGCACATACATTTTTTTTGGAAGATCTGGGTAAAATCTGCTGAATTATTTTTTCCTGTGCCCTGCATGTTTTTGTAAAGCCTGGCAAAATAGGGCTCCTATAGACATGTGGGGAGCCTGCTCTGACACGCTGTAGCGCTCCAGCAGCCTTCCGTGTCACGTGCATCAGTGTCCCCGCGCTAAAAAAAATGGCGGTGGAGCACTTTGAAATAAAAGATGTTCAATGAGCTTTAGCTCAGTGCCCCACTACCATTTTTACAGTGCGGGGACCCTGATACACGGGACTCCCGAGCGCTTTTAATTAGTGCAGCTCGCTAATTAAAGCGCCTGGAGCTGTGCCCCAGAGCACATGTAAAAGTACCCATAGCACCCAGGTTTGGATGGGGTCCACTATAATACCTAATACAGATTCATTTTTCATGTGTGGAAAATAATTGCGTGGGGGGCAGTCATCTTACATCCAAGGTTGTCTTGGATTTGGGTAAATATGGTATGACCTTGACAGAGTCACTTCATGCCACCCCATTCCCTCTAGCCCTTTATGTGAGCGTTAAACTCTGGCAAAGACTGGCAGTGTGCGTGCGTGTGTGCATGCGTTGCACAATAAGGCTCTAATCTTGATCGAGGTTTTAGGTGCTCCTATAATGTAAATAACAGAGCCAATAATAGACTGAATGCCAGTACACTAAATACCAGCAGTGTTTTCTTCTTTGACAGATTCTCCCTGCCTTTAAAAATACACCAGAACCAATATAACTGACTAGTTATGTTAGTGGTATGTCTGTACTTATACTTTTGATGGTTGCAGGGCATTCACACACATCATATTTAACCATCTTGTCTCTGCCTTTTTCCAAATATCCCTGAGGTGTATGGTGAAATTTTAACAGGAGTCTCCATATATATTCACATTTGAACATTTTCTGTTTCTTCTGTTAAAATAGTCACTCACTGTAGTAAAGAATTTTATTAACAGGTCCTGGTAACAAGCACTATTATTATCAATGCAGTTTTATGAAAAAAGACTATGGACACATCATTTAACAATTTAATGAGAATTTTCAAAGCGGTTACAAACTACTGGCTAAATGGTACACAAACACCTCATCTCTAGATAGCTCTTACTGTACACTGTCATTGCAGATTATGGAATGAAAATTCAGTAATTAATTCAGAGATGCTCTGCTGCAGTACGTAAACTTTCCAAGTCGCATGGAAGACTCATTAATGTCACCACTATTGTGAGATAACATGAAGCCATTAACACCTCTCACCACATGTTCTCACAGCTGCACACCAGTTTCCTTTGGAAACTGTGGCTGCAAACCTCATTTCTTGTAATGAAGCTATGCAACCCACAACTGCAAAATTAACAGATGTTTTCACATTTTTCTTCCCCTGCCACTAAGACACACACACAAGTAAACCAAAAAAAATATTAAACTTTATCTTCTGCAAAGATGCTCTGCAAAGGGAGAAAACAATTGAGTATGAGTGTCTTTTGTCATGCATGCAGAGAAGGCAGAGAGGACATTTCTGAAAAAAGCTCTCTTTTTATCCTGCTGGCTTTTTACAGAAAAAATTCTGGGTTTTTTCTGCTCTGGAAGATTCCATTTAAAAATCAAGGACTAGTGAAGTTATTTGTGACAAGAGACTGAAGCTGAACAGTTAGGAGGGAGTGGATTTTAGGAAAGATTATTAAAATCTCTAGTTTATTTAGTTTTGTTTTCATTAATACCTATTTAACTGCAAAGCCTTATGACCAACTATGACTAAGAACATCTTTGTCAAGCATTTAGCATCCCTGCTTTTTTATCTCAGATGCAAGAGCTCACTACAAACCTCTCTTGAGACCCCCTGAGACAGTCTTAGTACAAACAGAGAAAACAGAACTCATTCCAGTTCAAGAAGTGGAAAATACATATTTGAAAAACATTCAAGCCTTTATACACATATACCCCCCCCCCCACACACACACACAAAACAGAGTGATTTGTGAAACCTCTTTTGTAGTTCACATTACAGCAAGGCTGCATATAAAAATGGAGAGCAAGTGCAAAGATGGCTGCATTTTTCCCCTTCAAAATACAGCTTATATCCACAAAGCCAGATTTTCCTGCTACTGTTGCTCTCCTTAGCTGGCATGCCCACCATTTCAAGGGTTCCGTAGACAGCAAAATATGTGACAATGAGTGGACAACCCTAGGTAAAGGGCCTGAACTACTAAGTTAGCACTTTCCCCAGATGAACGGGAATTCAGCTGTGAGGAAATGGGAGTTACACTCCTATGCATCGCAACAATTAAATAGCAGCTGCCTTCCCCTGCAAGTACACCTTATCTTCCCCAGAACTTAAGGTACCTGCCCCACTTTTTACTCTATATTTGACCCAAACATTTTTAAGGCTGACAAGGCCCTAAACTTCCAGAGTTGGGGCGTTGAGGAAAAATAGTTAAAAAAATTAAGACAATTAAATATTTTTCGTGCGGTGTTATCATGTTGCCTGTCTTTAACCATCCATTTGTCTATTTATGACATAAGCTCTTTGAAGCAAGAGTTATATTTCCTTGTGTGCTTATAAAAGTACTCCTGCAAAGGATCCCCAGTTCTAAATGCAGCCTGTGACTTCAGCTTTGGAGGCATTTTCAAAAAATGTCTAAATGGCTCAGGGGCACAAGTCCCATTGGCTTTCAATGGGATCAGTGCATACAGCTCACCTTGGTGACTTGGAAAATCCCACCTTAATTCAGTATAACTACTAAATACCTAATAACCTTGTGATTGGGGCTTAGGGATGAAGTTAGATGGATAATAAAATGACAAGAAAAGTTTCTCTCTCTTTACAACCAAAGATTATATCTACTACTATACAGTTACTTAGTAGCAGCAGATCATGTGACCAATAATTGAGGCAACAGATTCAAGGCCACTTTTAAGTAATGCCCCCCCACCCAGCCTTGGTAAATCAGAAGACAAACTATTTACATGTGATTTCACATATACATTATTCCAGGCTTTGTCAAGAAGGCTAATTAGGGCAGACAATGACCAATATAGAAGAGATCAGATCAAAAAAGAGAGAGGAAGCAACTTCCTGGTTAAGAAAGGAGATCCTCATAATTAATTACACTATAAATGCTAATGAAGCCAAAAGCATAAATGGGAAAAACAAAGGCTAGGCTCCTGCTTGAAATGAAGTCAATGGGAGTTTTGCCACTGACTTCAATGGGAAAAGGAATAGGCCCCAAGGTTGGGAGGCAGTTCAATGAAAGCTCTCAGTACATGTGAACAAAAAGACCTTTAAAACACACAAACACACCAAGAAAAAACCTCCAGTTCCAGCTACAAAGCTGACTACAAAGAACATTTACAGAGTGTTCAGTGAAAATAATATGCAAGGCAAACTTACTGGAAAAGTAGGGCCACAAAAACAAGTTTGCTTTAAAAACGAGTACCATTTTTTAAAATTAGATAACCTACAAACAAGTTTCCATGTAAACAGGTTAAGATCCAGCTCCCATTTCTAAAAGTTTATTGTATTCATTTTAAAAGGACTAAGGATTAAAAATAGATTTTATCACTAGACACCCATTTAGTCTTTTATTTATTTATTTTTTAACTATAACAATAAACTTGACAGATCTGACAGAAAGATCTGAAAACTCTCATTTGTCTGTGAAACACATACCACAGTAGTCAAAAGCTACTAATCTTTTTAAATCAAGTCATGTTCTGTAATGAGTGATTGAACACTGGATATCACTCATTTCAAAAAGGTAAAAAAGTACATATCCTGCTATCCAATGAAACTGATCTTGTTCAAAGGCATAACTTTCCATTTTGGCACCTAGTAGAGGGGGCAGAGGGAACTCTTACATCCTGGTGCAGACTGTGGCAGCAGCATGGGCTGCTGCTCCTTGGTGTAAGCTCCCCCAACACAAACTGCAGTGGTGGTGCAGGTTCCCTGGGGCTGCCATTCTGCCCCCCTTTTCTCCTCCCCTAAAGTCAAAGTATTGGTCTTGCTCCTGGGTATTTCAAGTCAGAGCAGAAAGGACGGAGTGTTCTTAGAGGATGAAAAACAGGAAAGCTGCGGGCGCTTGTATTTAAATAAATAATTCCTCTAGAAATACTGCAAAAAGTGGGGAAAGAAAGCAGCAAGAAAAGCTGTCTTTGGGCAGCTTCAGCTTCTGGTGCTGAATCTGGATTCAGCTCAAAAATAACTTCATCGCATTAACATAATCACTATGGTCCAAATGTGCACAGTAGGAACTAACATTATTTGTCTTCATAAATATGGGGTAATCCATTGAAACTCCATTGAACAAATTACACTTTGTATTCTCTTTAATCTCATTCCCTCCTCTGCAAAAAAATGAATAAACAGCCCACCAAAGGTCATTTAGAGTGCAAGCACACTCCACAGTGTCTGAGACACTCTAAAAACCAATGTGGTTGGTACTAATGAAAACATTTAGGCCATATAAAATTAGCATGCAGTCTGTTTGCATTACATATTTTACAGTAGATTAGTTTATAAATCAGGAAAGATTTTTCAAAGAATTTTGATACTATTTGGTTTTCTTCCTACCTACAAAGCTAAGCTGCCTCACTAGCAGCACTTCGAGTGTGCAAGACAGAGGGAAGAGGCATATTCTAGAACCTCCTAAAGAGAAATCTAAAATAGGTTTTTTTCCTCTATACACAATAAGCCCAAGTATTTGAAACTGGAAATCACATGTTGTATACGAGTCATCAGATAATGTACCTGCTATTCCCCTAGGCTGATTATTATCTGCTTGTACCTGATACAAGTAACTTTTAGGGTAAAAGCTAGAAAAATGTTGTGACTGATTTCTGAAGTGCATCAATTTAAAAACATGGAGTATGCTTAAAATCACCTCAGAAATTGAAGGATTGTAAATTGTGGGCAGGGATAAATAAAACTGCTGTTAAAATATGGCTATGGGATGGTGACACATACTAACAAATGGCAAGCAGAGTTATGGTAATTTAAAACAAGCCTCAATTAACTGAATAATACATCCCCCTGTGGTCACTGCATGGGACGTTACAGGAAAAGTTACTTAAAAAGTTTTAGAGAGGCGTAACATCTTTATAAAGACTATTTTTAGTATTCCTCTGCCTAAAAGGTAGATTCTGAAAGGCATGGCTTTCATGACAGACAGCTTGAGTAATCAGCACCTGGTTAGCAATGTGCAATAGCCACGTGGGATCTGCTACACTTCAAAGCAAGACCTACGCATGCTATTGTGTTTCCCATGTGTGTCACCAGGACCTCTGAGGGCACATCCCTTGGTTCTCTATGATGCAGTAAGGTGAGCTGCCCCATGATCCTTTCCCAATGAATTCTGAGAAGACCTGTTTGTCCTTCTGGAGCTACAGAGGTAATTATGGGAAGGCACTGGAGGACTGTCAGTATTACAGTGATTTAGTCTGCATCCTCACTGCTAGGTGGATGAGTTACCAACCCAAATTAATGGTATACAGATTTTCTAGTCCACATCCCTACCCAGGCAGATTAGCTGCACTGAGAGTGCCATTTAGCTCTGATGTGAAGCTTTGTATATAGATAAGAAGGGGTGAATAAGAGCCCAGGCTGGTTTTGCCATAAAGACACACCCTTAGTTACAGGGTACAGAGGGAGGCATAAAAAACCTCTAGTTACCTGAACAGCTCCTCAAAATATCACATTCAAGTCTGATACACCTAGCAGGCCTAGCAGCAAACATTGGGGATGCCTGCTTTCCAAAAGTACAGAGATTCTAAATTTCAAGCTCTGAAAACCCCAAGTGTCCAAGCAGTGACATCTTTCCATCCAGAGATGGTATCACAGTCCTAGTCTTCACATTATTGATATTTAGATAGGGGTAAGCAGTAGAGAGCAGATGGATTTCTGTAACAGGGGAACCCAACCCCTGTTACTTAAACAGATAGAAGGCAGCATTATATAGCTGCAAGTAGTGGCAAGCAGCTGATTTAGTGTCAACTGCAAAAAGGTAAGCAACCAAAGGGAGATAGTGGGGGCTCCAAAGCTGAAGCAAGTTGTAAGCAACTGTCCTAGAGGAAGCTGCCATGAAATAGGCTACAGGGCCCAGAGCACTGGGCAGCTAGCTAAGTAGCGGCTGCAGCAGATCTGAGCAGTCTGCTGATGAGCAATGTGTAGTTGAGGGAGTCAGAGAATGTGACCAGAAGAGAGTGCAAGTGGAACCCAGGGCCATATACACCTGGCTCCAGGGCTGGAGACAGCAGCCAGGCCCTGAATGCCAAGGGGGAAGGAGCTCCTCTGAGAAGGCCACAGAACACAGGAATAAGATAGTAAGGCAACCTTGAGGGGTTGTCTGAGACAGCCAGCTGGTAGGGGCAACAGGTTTTGCTTGGGCTGCATAAGCCCTGGGTGTTAATCTTTTTTTCTGGGAACATGGGATTGTTACTTATGAACATTGTGAGGCATAGGAGTAGCTAGAAGAGTGAAGGCTACGAAGAGTGCCCAGCAAAAGGTGCTGGACTGATCACTAAGGACCGTGCTGAGGATTGTGTCACGGAGGAGAGGAAATCACCCCAAGAGGCTACTCTTTTTTATTGTAATATGTAATATTAAAGGTGGGGCAAGTAGAAAAAAATGGAGGTTGCATCAAGGCTGGAGCATGCAGCAGGTAAAACTGATTGCCAGGGGCCACTGGACTCTGAGATCCAAACTTGCAAAAATTTTACATTGGGAAGGAGAAGGAAACAAACTTGCCAAAAAATTAGAAAAGAAAGGCAGGTAAAATTCTAGAATGAAGCAGGGGAGAGAACAATGGGGAAGATGATGCGGTGATGTGGTCAAAGATGCATGAAAAAAAATTCATAACATGTATCAACATAAAGAAAACATGTAAAAATTACTTAACTCACAACCAAAATGCATACACTTCTTGGTTATAATGTGGCAGCTGCGGAAACTGCTATTCTACAAAGAAACTGAGATGAGGAGATGCAAAATGGCAAAAAAAAGCTGGTGGGCTTGCTAGGTAGATGGATACACAGGAGATTTAGACTGAATGTAATTATCTAAGTAGAATTGTTAAATCCATCACAGGTGTCATGACCCAAAGGGTATGATTTTGTGTGCGCTTCGGCACTGCAGAATTATTTCCCGCCACATGGAGCTTTCTTTGCACGGTGCAATTCTCAGTTGCAGAGGGAAAACCCTCTGCAACTGAGCAAAGGAGTTCCCGCCACCCATATGTAAATTTATTTCCCACTATTGGCTGTTTCTAAATTATTCCCACGTGGTGGCTAGCGATTGGCTTGCTAGCCATATAAGAGGCTTGAGCAGTTTCCACCCAAGTTGGAGGAGGACTTCACATCCATCTTGTGAAAAACTCTAAGCGCGCCGTGGAGCCTAACAAACTCCGCGTGTGCCTTAGAGGAGGATACAGGGGCCTGATCAAACTCTAGCCTCTCCCCGTCGCCGCACGATCCCCCGACGTACCCCACCCTGCGCGCTCGTGGAGAGTCACCTTTCGGACGGTCCACGGAGCCTAGCAAACTCCGTGAGTGGTATCCAGAGCTCTGTTCGTGTTTGTTTAGTGGAGCCTAGCAAACTCCGCTTGTGTGTCTTCGGTGGAGCCTAGCAAACTCCACGTGTGTGGGTTTTTTTTGTAACTGCAACTCAAGAAAGTTTTCCTGCCTGCACCGCGACCATCTACGGTGTAAGTAAAATAATCTTTAATCAACCTCTATGTGTCAGTGCCTAATTCTAGTTCGCCGTGCCGACCTTTTCCCCGGCCCACGTGCCCAGGCTGCTGGCCACAGCCCCTCAGCCCCAAAAACAGGCAGGCACATCAACATGGGGACAGAATAGCAAACTCTTTTTTTCCCTCTATTTTACTTGAAATCCATATAACATCATCTTGGTAGAGTATGCTGTCTTTCAAATTATTTGCAATTTATGCCTAGTAGAAAACTAATTCAAGCCAGTAAAATCTGTTAGTGCTTCTTTTATTTCATTACTGTATCTTATTTTCCCTGCCAGTTGTTAAGGTTGAGACTGAACACTCATTATTTTGATTAAAGCATCTTCAAGCTGTATTCCTTCAGGTCTCAAAACTGATTCTTAACAACAAATGTTTGTTAGTCCTCAGTTTAATAAATTACCCCCAATATCATATAAATGAATTTAAGTGTCCTTCACTTGAATTTTGACCTTTGTGCGAAATGCTGGTTCAGTCTTTGCAAGAAACTGTAGCTCCCCCCATCAATTTACTAATTATATGCAGAAGCTCTTACCAAGTAATTAATGATATAAAATCTGTCATATTCCCTATTTTTGGCATTGATTTTGCGATGCTGCTTCTTTCTCATGTGATCTTTAAGTGTGTTTTTGTCTCTGAAGGTTCTCTCACAATATAAACACTGCAAACTAAAATAAAAAGGTAAATAGATTAAAAGGTACACAAATCAATACAAAATATTTCAGAGGTATAAACTGTTTATCTGAATGATCAACAAACAAACAATTCTAAGAGCTTGAAGTATCATATATATTAATATATATGTAAACTGACTATGAAGCAAGAAGCCTAATGCTATTGGGGAGGGGAGGGGAGGGGAGGGAAGGAGAAGACCATATAAGAACAACCACCACCACCAATAAAAACAATGTGTTATGGGTAGTTAAGTCTTCATCACACAAACTACAGAATAAGAAAACATTTTGATGTATCGAAAACTTTTTTCTGTTACAAGGTCCACAGATTGAGCTTTCACCAGCCTAAAACAGACAGAATCAGGCTTCTCAGACACCGCATACATGTGCTATAGAAGAAACAGTGAATTTTTACCGCAATACATTATTTAAAAAAAATACTCTGAATGAACTAACAATGTTTATCACACTGGCCCAACATTCTCAAACGAGGGAAGGCTCATCTGTGCACTACAAACCTTGATGATGGGACTTTTCAGTAAGTCAAAATATTAATTTTCTATTTTTTCCCCCACAGTCAAGGGCCGGAAATCCATTGGCCAATGAGAAATTAAAAGCAGTATGTGTTCAGGAAGGGGGAGACACGTAGTTCAGTTGGTAGGGAGACTAGCTATGGACTGGAAGGAACTGGGTTAAAGAAAGTGAAGCACTGTCTCACTGGCCTGTAAATGGGACAGCTTTACCTGTATGCCTTCAGGAAGGATCAAACAGAACTACACACATTTTAAAACCCTTCTCCACTATTATACAACATGAAGCATCCTTCTACTCAAAACAGTATGGTTTGATGCCTAAATACCAAAACTAAAGCTTTGGAAAGGTAACCTTTTTTAGCTCAGCAGGTTCCTATCCTCCTAGATAGTGGGCTATAAAATTGCTTGCTAGAGTGAATTTTAGGCTTCATAGAAGCACATCAGGTCACCACAATAAAGCATATTTTAATGTTGTTCTGGTAGGGAATTAACAGAGAACTGAATTTTTGTTTGATGGATGTATACCTGGAGGTGCTATGAAGATCCAGAACATGTCTGTGGAGTAAGGTAGTTTTGGACATCTCACCAAGAGCAGCAAGATATTTGAGGTTTGTAAAAAACTAGCTTCAGGAAAAAGGACCAGTTGGGACCGAAGAAACACTTTATAGTCTGAGTAACAGTCCTGGATATTCCACAGGGAATGGGCTCAAATTTTGGCATCTCCCAGGTGAAAGTGATGGTTATCAGAAAGACCACTTTGCTGGATGGGAAGAATTACTTACTTTTCGAGCAGTGCAAAAGGTTGCAGAGTTCAGGCATTCAAGACCAAACCAATATTCTATGGAAGTTCTCCATGAATCTTAAGAACATGAAGTAAATATGCAGTTGTGAAGTAAGGCCTGACATCCAAACATAAATAGACCATACTTTCTTCCATGCAGGTAGAGATAAAGAAAGATAGAGAAACCACTTAACAATTTCACACTAAAACTCAAAAACCTGGTACTTCCTCATTTTAATAATCCCCAAATTTGTATGTACATGGTGATGTATCCTTCTCCAAATATTAGTCCACATGAAGCCCTTTGTGTGTTTAGACCAGAATCTTTCTGGCCAGCAGTCCCTGCTGTACACATACATCCTGTAACCCAGTGCTTCTCAAACCATCTGATGTGGCAGACGGGCAATTCTTTTTCCAGTGGGCCAGGGACCGGTGCCCGGGTCAGCCGGTGGCAGCAACTGCGTGCAACAGCACTACACAAATGCGCGACTGGCTGTTTCTCTCTCTTTCCTCACCTCACACGACGCGATGTCACCTGGAGTGTTGGAATGTACGAACTGTGGCGCTATGACATAGCGATGTTATACTTCTGAAAATATATTTCTTTCTTTCCTGGCAACTTGCTGCGGACCGGCGACTGGTGGCTCGTGGACCAGCACCGGTCCACAGACCACCACTTTGAGAAGCACTGCTCAGAGCAAGGGAACAGCTAGCTGTCACTCCTGTGGCACCAAGTCAGATCCTACACATTCTCTTGATCTTCTCTACTCATTGCATAATTTAGGTTTGTTGTCAATTACTCTCAGTGCAAATTAGACAAATTTGATAGATTTTATTTTAAGAAATTGTCTGAGTCCCACCTAGATACAGATGAGTAGGTCTTATGCCCAAGATCAGGTCTCTGGGCCTTAAATCTGCTGTGTCTGAGATAACACTGTGCCTGCTTATGATGGAAATATGAAAATGTATGTTTTACTTGAAAAAGCTGTTTATAGCAAGAATGCGGTTCGTGATTGTTTCTTTAACACACACGGCTTGTGATGCTAGTCTAAAATTATTCTTGATGGAAAAATCCACGCAGAGTGCGTTTGACTAAGGTATTCCCTTACAAGCAGCTCTTTTCTGCTTTGAAGTTGGTTTCAACAAGTGCTCTGCATACAAGATATGCAGATTTACTGGCCTTAAGAGAACTCCTGCTGTTACCAAACACTTGAGTTTGCTGATTATCCTCCTCTGGTCAGTCAATGGCTCCTGCTGCCTGAGGCAGAAAGAAAAAAGCTCTCTAGCTGGGCACACACTACTGAGTCCCACCTGGACCCAGAAGACGGGCAAAAAACACCTCAGGTTAACTTACTCGAAAGTGATCTACATCTGGGGCATTGTATTTCTTAGCTTTGATAAAGCATTTTACATCGTTGATGGCCAGCATTGCTTCTATTTGTTACAACTGCCATTGTTACTGTACACCTTGGATTCAGAGGTGTCAAAGTGATAAGACTTCTTCTGACACTGTACGTGTGGTATCAGTGGGAGATTCCCAAAGGTTGTTCTCGAACAGTGGCAGAAGTGTGCCACAAAAAAATGATACTGCATCAGTATCAGATCCAACCTGCAGTGCTCCCCAGAGGTCTAGAAATGTGGATGTAGAGGAGTGGTGGCAATTAAATTAACACTGCCACTGCTACCAAATTTCCAAGCTCCATGTGGCAGAATCACGATCAGGCTCCAGCCATGCCAGCCCGACACGGTAAGATCAGACCCATGGACTGGATCTGGCCTGTGGATCAACCCGGCACTGTTCATCCAGCCCATGAGGCCAAAAGGTTGGGCATACTGCACCATCTTACATATATATTGTACCTTCTTGGGTAAAAAGGTTCAATGTGATTCTAATTTTAATCCAGAAAAAAAAGTGCACCCTAGGTATCAGAAGTCTGGGAAAAACCGGTTTAAGTACCCTAGCAGTGGTCGGTACCACCTATTTTGTTGGCTAATATTGCATTCACATTTACATGCAACTCATGAACTGGAACTGGAGTTGCCATTTTGTATTGTATTCAGAGCTTTGCTGACACCATAGCCTAGAGTACTGTAGATTAAAAAAACCCAACTTTCTCCACCCAGTCTCAGCAATATTAGGAGCTCAGTCATGTGTCAAGATCTGAGGGTCCTCCTCTTCCTATACCTCAAGGATCAGTTCCTCTATGATAAAAATTCTATTCCTCTGTATCCTCCTCTCTGCTGGCAGTGGCATCCCTTTTTCTAGGCATCCTCACCCAAGCTAGTTCTTGGGAGAGAATAAAAGTCTGTGTTTCTCTCAATGCACCCTGGCACTCAGAGGGAAGAATGAATAGGATCATGATAATCACAGGAGAGGCACTCCAGCAAGAAATGCTAGCCTATAGGAAATAATGGGGGCATTTGTTCTCCAAACTACAGGTCCCATGAGACAGTGCTCCACAGCAGGGAAATTAGTTCAGCTAAATTTGATGTTTATCTACTGTAAGCCTCCTGAGTAAACTATCTTTGAATGTTCCTTTTCTCCTCTGCTCTGAAGAGTATAAACATTACCATGCAGAAATCATAACCTTACATGTATGAATACTGAACTCGTGTGGCTGCTCATCTACTCTGCAAAGAATGTTACCCTCCTTCAGGGCCCCAAACCATTCAAGCTCTGGTGAACTCTAACTGCTACTGTGTATTACAGAAAGAGACAAGAAGGAAAGAAATCATCCCTGTTGTCAGAAAGCAACATCTCTCTCTCTCTAATTGGTGCATCCTACATCAGATCAACCTAATAATAGCCCTCCGTTTTCCAAGTTCCCAACATATTTGGTGAACCTCTGGATAATGCCCAGATGAGTATCTTTCCACAAGAGGCTTTTTAAAAAATAAACTGTAGACTTTTTATAGCTTTTGGTATTAAATTCTTATGGTCAGACTATTTCCTCTCAGGGACTTTCTAAATGGTTTATGGCCGGTATTAAGATTTCCTACTCTTTCAGCAGATTTACCAATCTCCTGCTGAGAAAGGGCACATTCTGCAGAGGCACAAGAGACATCTGTGGCTTACTTTAGAGATGTTTCTCCGTTTGAAATCTATAGAGCAGGAATTTCAAGTTCAGTTTATACATTTACCAATCACAGTGACAACTTCTAGGTCAGGTGCCCAATTTGCCAGGATTATTCTAGAGATGTTGTCTAGACAGGGATTGTAATCACCCTTTTGCTTAAGAGGTAGTTGCTACTCACTAAGTTAATATAGATTCTATACAAATACTTGGAGAAAAGGGGTGACTTAACTTATTCGTACAGACATGTTCATTCTCATCGATTGCCCAACTCTCTCCTTCCCTTGAAGTCTTTACATAGATCTCTATGTTAGGAAGGAAGAATCCTCTCTTCTCTTGTGTCACTGTTTGAAATAAATCCTTCCTATTCAAAAGGTGGTAGAAGCTTTGCTAAATACGTGCTCTCTGAATGTCCACCCCCCATACAATACCACTGGAAAGCTTGGCAGTTAGCTTTAATTCTGTGGCTCTGGATGTCAAATCAGTCTCTGGGAGGAAAGATCCTGCCTTAACAGGGAGGAAAGTGGGTTGGACTGAGTGATGCTAAGGATATGTTTGGTCTCCTTGGCCAATATAGAGCCGTTGCTAATACTAATGCCTTTTCTGTCCTGATCTCCTGGACAGTTTCAGGTAGCAGGAAGAATGATGCACAGAAGGCCTATTAACCGTCTCTGAGAGCCCTTGATTTCTTTTTTTTGGGAAGGAGAGGAGAGGACTTGTACTTCATGACTGATGCATGTTGATGTATTAAGCCCTATGCATAGGTATGATCCTTAAGGGAAAAAAAACTATTATGCTAGACCTACATTCATGTTATTGAATCCAAGGGTACAACACTTCTCAATGAAGGCTGGCAATGAGAAAGAGATAAAACTAAGTCTTGCAGGGGAGGCAATACTCTGGGATCAAGCACTGAAGGAGAAATCACATTGCAAGAGATCTAGAAACACAGTGGCATGAGATAGCTGCCAGGAAATCCCATGGCAAAGTTATTTATGCCTGGCCCTGGATGACTTCTCTTAAATCACCTTTTTGATTCTTCTTTAGCCTTCTAAAGGAGGGATGGAGCAAAACAGCCTGTTCTTTTCCCAGATCTTCCAGGTTGAGCATCGCAAGGAATAGTGAAAGGAAACATCAGTGGCATCTCAGCAGTAGAGAGAAGCTAGATTCAAATTCCCAGTGCATGGGAAGACCAAACATTGCTACAGAAAGCAAATTTACGTCCCCAAGTTTTGAATATGTGTTTTGCAGCAAAAGGTCTGGTAAAACTTAAAGTGTGGAAGCACAAAAAAGGTAATGGGCTGCTGAGCATAGTTGGCTATGTAGTTACATTCAAGCTTGGAGCCCACTCATAAACAGATATATAGGCAAAAGAGAACCGTCAGAATTGCCGTGAATCTACCAGGCAAAGAGCTGAGCTATAGGTACTGGAATCATTTAGTATCTGGTTATGAAGCGACCATGAATATTGAGATGTGGTCCACTTCAATGATCAAAGAGCACTATTAAATAGTCTTTGTTTCAGAGGGCTCAAGAAGTTTACATTATTGTTGAAAATTAAAAATTATTATGTTAGTCTTGTTAATTCAAGCTACAGATGCCTCTGGGCAGAAAATCTCTATTTAACTTTTAAATCTGGCTGCAACTGAAGGGGTTCACTTAAGAAATCTACATTACTCTGCCAATGTATGCTACATGAAATTTTTCTGCCATTATATTATTCAGTCAGATTTCTCCCTGTATTCCATTTGTTTCCTATTAATTAACAGAGACACTGTAGAGAGAAACAAGTTCTCCCTCTCTCTCTGTGCACTGGACATACATTCAAGGGCATTCTTTCTCTGAAGCAGTTACTACTTCTGTCCTCCTTTGAAATGGTTACAAACAAGCAGTCAAATGCTGAGTTTTCAACCTGGCTCTCTTACAGTCTGGACTGAGAAACAATTAAAACAGTTCAAACACCTGTCCAGCCATCACACCCTGCTCCTCAGGCCCCTTGATAGTGCCAAGCACCCCCCAGTTGCCTCTGCTGGAAGGAAAGGGGGTGGGGAAGGAGACGCTCTGGGGATTTGGCGCTGGATGCCACGCGGCATGCAGACACACAGCTGCATGCAGCCACAGCAATGCTGAACTGTTCCATCCGGGGTTGGGACAAGGGCTGTACATGTGTCCCCAGCTAGAAAGATTCCTCTTCACTAGCGCATTTCACTTGTTACCTCTGTCCACACCCTTACTTTGCAGCACAAAAATTACCACTTGATTTGCAGCACTTGGTGTTCTAATTGTACTTTTTCAAGCGCTATGGCACACTAATCCTCTAAAAAAAACATAGGACATGGTCATTTTCAAACAGCTAAAGTATTAATCATTCCTAAGACTGTTCTTATTAAAAGAAAAAAAAAAATTCCCTCCCCCACAACTTTAGGTAGTTGTGGATTTAGTAGTTCTGTCACTAGGTCAGCAGGCTTAGCTGTTGTTTTCTCACTTTCGGATGCCAAATGAAACTAACAATTTCCAGAGGTATTGGAATGGCACCAATAAAAGGAAAATGAACATTAATCGGCTATCAGCTTTTTTTGGCCAGTGTAGCTGATAATGTCACCAATATATATAATATACCTTCTGGCCGGGGCCCCTGGATGCTGCGTGCGTGCATGCATGTGGCCAGGAATGCAGCCAGGGACCATGGAGAGCAGCAACTTGCAGGTCAATTTGTGCAGGGGAAGAGGCATGAGTGAGGGAAGAGGCATTGGTGGGGGAGGGCACACAGATTAAGGCCCTACAGCGAGGGA